TGTTAGGATATTTATCCTATTTTATCATCATTATAGTGTGTCAAGGGTTACCCTATTTATCATGATTATATTGTGTCTAGGATTATCCTATTTATCATGATTATATTGTGTCTAGGGTTACCCTATTTATCATGTACTTGTGTATCAATTTATTCTTATAAATAGAAGATTGTGAGAGGGATCAATTAAGCCCTCTAGAATTATTTTACAGTTTCAATCTTAAGTGACGTGTTGAGGATTCTTAACATTGCTCCTACTTAACTGCACCTGAACAGTTGGGCTTATATGTTGGATCTCGTGCCTACGTTTGCAACTTTCTTGCATTATTTTCATACTCAACTCGTCACGTGGTTGGGTCTCTTTGATCTCGAAGCACGACAAAACATTGTTCGAGCTCTTTGCACTTTCTTTCAAAGGTTTTAAGGACAAGTTCTTCAAGGTAGAGATTGTTGAGTTTGCTCGTTCACATTTTTTCAACGAGGATGGTCAACTAAAGTTTCCCTTCTACCGGACTCAAAATCATGCCCAATTGACCTCTTAGTTCAGAGTCGAGATGACTTCGACCGAACAGGAGACACTTGACATCATTGACAACTTGCCACGTTAGCTCTCCTCTTGAAAACTCATTGAATGTTAGGGTGGGAAGACCTTAGTACTAAGGTGTTCGGTATGGCGTTTCCTTTTTATTCTTACATGTATGGCTTGATTTTAACTTAGCTAAATTTTCATTTTTCTTTCAATTATCGTGGGTTCCCACAATCCAAAAAAGAACTACTTGAAGTAAGTCACCAACAAAATGGAGGACGGTGAGACTTCCCTACTACTTGGGAGTAGATGAAGGTAGTATCTAGGGTTCCTACCCCTCCCGCATGATGACTCTTCAAGGTGGGGGTACTAGGCCGACACCACCTAAGACTCGATCAATTACCTGTGCTGCTTAGGAACTAGTGATCCTGCAACCTACTCCGATCAACATTGTTCCTATCTCGGAGTCTTCCATAGCCAGAAGGATGAGCAATCATCCTCTCACGAGAAGAACAAGAAGGTGTCCTCTCCTCGCCTGTTATCTGTCTTAAGTCAAGAGTTTTGTCTTGGCCACAAAATTAAGTTTCCCTTAACCTATGATAAGAAGAATTTGATCCAATTTATATATATATATATATATATATATATGGTTTATTATGAACTTAAGTTATCAAAGAATTATTTTTCTTGTTCTTTATTTGAAAACTAAGGTCAACAACATCATTTAAATTTCATTGGTTTCATATATGATGTGACATATATAAATTCTATAATGTCCCAAGTGTGTTGCTTTTGTTATCTTCTTGAGCTAAATTTTATAGGTGATAAAATAAGTTGTCACAGTACTATGACATGGATATTCTAATGAAATTTATAATATTAATGGATTTTGAATTTAATTATTTAGATTTTACTTAGAATTATAATTTATTTTTTTAATGTATGATTTATTTTTTTATCTAAAAGAAAAAAAATTAAAATAGATTTGGAATTTTTAATTTTAGTTACATATTAAAAAAAAGTTAATTTGAAAAAGAAATTATAAATTTTTTAATTAAGTGAGTCAAACAATTTAATTTATCAAATCCATTGTGTTTGAATCAAATTAAAATTCTTTAAACTCATTAATAAGTAATCCAAGTTTGATTAACTGAATAAATGACTAATCTTTAAGGAATCGGATGACTCGTTTGATAGTTCTATCCAGCATTACTCTAGGCTCACGTGCTGTAAATTATACTAGGAGTGTTTCATCCTACACTTCCAGCATCTCATCTTACATCTTAAAAAATTATATTTTTAACCTTTTAACATCTCATCTTATCGTTATAGGATGAGATGTTGTAGATTCAAAATGTCAGCTCCGTCTGTTTTTGTAAGTTTTTTGTAAGACTTTATTAAAACAAATGTTTGAGTTCTAAAAACAGCCAATTATATTTGTTTACTATTTTTTATACCGTTGAATTTTCATTTTGAGTAAAAAGTAATATAAATTTTCAAGGATCAAAATAATAATTCCTACAATTTGAAAATTTATCGAAACAACAAATTGAATACTATAAAAGTATGTGTCTTTTCCATGACATTTGAATAGCCAAGTATGCTTTTTATAGTTAAAAACATTAACTTAAGAAAAATAAATAATTTTAAATTCCCATTTAATTAATTGTGATTTTGGGAAAATATATTACATTTAAAGAATATATTTATATCATTAAATTTTTAATAGCCTTCAGATCAATTTTTTTTTTACTCAAGGATAAAGATATTGCAGTGATCGATAGATGATAACATTATAGAATATTATTGAGTTGATGATTTAATTTCTAAGATTGAATGCTTATAGGATCATCATTAAGTTGTTGCCATCTCTTAAAATGAAAAAGTGTCAACATTAACAATGAATAAAGAATAATACCTAAGTTTATTTATATCTTTCTTATAACTTTAATGGTGGTTTTAGGGTATTTTTCAGTAAATAGCTTATAACTTTTTATATACAACCACAACTAATATATCAAAAAATTCCAAACAGAAACACATTAACATAATCAAAAGTTGTAATCACAAGGACGAGAAAAAAGTTCTAACTTCACTTGCCAAACAGAAGGAAGTGTTAATGGATAGAAAATAAATTAAAATTAATTGATGGCACATAAGAAAAAGAAATATTTCTTTTCTGATATACAGCTGGGAAGATGGAAAGTAAAAATGAAGCTCAGCAGCTAAACCAAGTGTTTGGAAACTTGTTTTACAACTAAAAATGACCGGAAGTGAAAGAAAGAACCACCAAAAGCTTCAACATGTGCCACTATCTCGGACCAGAAAATTCACATCCGTGATCTGTTTCCAAACACTATAAATTCCCTAAGAAACAAAACAAAAATGTGCCCTACGAATAGGGCATGCCTATGATTTCTGGGTACACTTCTCAATGGAACAGACAATCACCCTAGCACTCCTGTCTTGGAGTTGAATCACTGCTTATTGCCATTGGCTTTGGTCATTTTTTGCTTCTGCTGTTTAATACCTTTTCTCTTTTTTTCTCGTAGAGTGTTCCTCTTCTCCTCCCTGCAGGAATCACAAAATCATTAAGGTTTTCAGAGGAAGGTTTATTTCCATAAGCTGGTTTAAATTTACTGATAAAGATATATTCTATGTTTACACGGAGAAAACATCTAACCTGGCTTTTGAAATCTCTTCCTTCGATGGAAATTGCCTCTTCGTCCTCTTTTTGGGCTCAGATTCAGAAGATTCTTTGCCATTTTCTTTTACACCGTTTACTGGTTTAGAGGGGAACTTTCTTTTCTTCGTCTTTTTGGATTCAGATTCGGAAGTTGCATTGCCATTTTCTTTATTGCCATCATTTGATTTCTCCTTTTCATTCTCCACCGTAGTAGCAATATCTTCTTCCTTCTCGGCTACTTCTGATGATTTTGCACCAGGCTTTGAGCTACTCATTTTTTTTAACTGCAAAATTAGGAAGTATAAAAACTCAGTTTATTATAGCATATATAAATAAACTGTACTCAGATTCCCAGTTAATGTATAAAGCTGGCAAAAAGAAATCGAACTTTTCCAGATAAGGTTGGATACTAAAACTAAGGGAAACAAATTGATATTTTTTATGTATTGCACTCCGATAAGTAGAACTGAACTCAAATCACAAGTTAACAACAAAGATAATTTGATAAGTTTCAAAACAACAAGATAAATTTGTAACTTGGTTTTACCCAAAAAAAAAAATTGCAATCCAACAACTTGCTTTACATTCCAACAATTTCGTTTATCATACAATACCTTTGCAACAAAAAACCCATCCATATTTTGTACGTGAGGATAGAAACGCCTTGTCTTTTCCAAAGAAGGGTGAAAACGTTGTTCCCTAAACCTTATAAAACTGATGGAAAGCAAATGTCAAACATACTGACGTACATAATACCTAATCATAACAAAGAACTAGAAATAAAATCATTACCCTGGACGACCAAAATCAAGTCCACACGGAACCAGTTTAACATCCCGCTTTTTGAGTGCATAGTCAATAACTGCTTCATTCTGAATAATAATGAAAGAACTTGTATAATCGTACAACATAAAAAAGGAAAGAAAAGAAAACGAACATACAAACTCAGATCATTCAACTGAAAAACAAACCTCAGCAACCATGATTGAGCATGTAGAATAAACAATATATCCCCCAGATTTTGAATTAGCATCCACCATGTCAATTGCCGCAAGAATTAGCTCCTATAGGAGAAAAAAACAGTTACTAAACAATAGTTTGTAAGTTTGCTCTATCAACCAAAAAAAAGAAATTTACTGTGAAAGAAGAAACATGGAAAACTTGTCCCAGTATTTTATGGTAAAATACAAAAGATGAATTATGCCGCAGCCTGACTTTGCTCACTTCCTAAACAGCATTTCAACAAAAATGACAATTTACCTTTTGTAGCTGCGCACACTTCTGTATATCTTCCAAACTTTTAGAGGTTTTAACAGACTCATCTTTCGATATAACCTGCATACAGAAAGTCCTTCAGTGTCTTTCAAAGTTCTGCAAGAAAAAAAGATCAAATCCGCCCAAACATTGACACCCTAAATATTATTCACTATTTCTTACCCCAGTTCCACTGCAAGGGGCATCCAATAATACTCTATCGACAGCATTGACACCAAGAACTTTTGGAAGCTGAAAAAGATAATATAGACATTAAACAAATGTAATCATGTACAACACAGAATATCATTTTAGGCCTACAGATTACAGGAGTTACAAATGAAACTGACATGTGAAAATCTGAAGTTGAACTAAAACGCTTATTTATAAATTTACAAAGGACAACATATAATAATAATAATAAATCAAATGGATAAAGTATGTAACAACTCCTGTAGCAACAACTAGACATGCTAAACAAAACAATTAAACAATAAACATGACTGTTGCGACGCTGGATTTAAAATCTGAGAAGAACCAGAAAGACACTCTTGCAGCACATGAACAGAAGCTGAGACAAACAGTTGTCAACCTATCCAGATCCGGTAGAAGCATTCAAACTGATATTTTTCTCCTGAAGAAACAATTGCATGAGCAAGAACGTTTTTTGAAACAGATTTTGAATAAGGCTAGATTGAGGTTGATGGTGAAGATGTTACAAGGGATGGAAGACAATGCTCTTTTCTTGAAAACACTATCAATTGGCATAGTATGAATATAGTCATCATTAATATAATTGTTAGTCTAACGACCTGCACCCTATAGTCCCAGTTTCTTTTCTTTACATTCTTTCTTGTCACAAATATTTGTAGTGTTTCTCTCAGCATTTCATAAAAAAATAGGGGAAGCCTGTTTCTTTACTCCAATTTGTCAAACCAAACAAATTATAGAGAACAAAGAAGCCAGATTGATAGTCTAATAAAATACAAAACCAAATGACTATAGTGCAATCTAATTGCAGTAAGGACATCAAAGCCCTTTTGTAGCAAATACAAGTAAACACTAAAAATTAGCAGCAATACAAAAGATGCTAACCTCATTTCCATCATAGTTACAGACTACAGTGTTGGATACACCCATACGATGCAAATTTGCAGTCAATGACTTAAGCCTTGGTACCTTCATTTCATTTGCAAAAATTATTCCTGCCATAAAAAATAGTATGATTGAATTACTAGAAACATGAATTTCACTTCATGAATTTACAAACAAAAACTTGAATCCAAGAGTCTGTAAATACCTCGACATAAAAAATGAATAGGATAATGCTTTTTTCTAGTGTCAAAATTTGATTGAAAAGTTTCACATGATTTTCATGCATTAAAAAATACCTAAACCAGTGTAAAGTATTATTGAAGTCTCAAAAACAAATTCCACAATCCAGAATAAAGGAAAATGTTTGGTTCCTCTTCCTGCCAGCACTTACTTATTAAACAAATATTAAATCGTCCCAACTATATATTATATGGACAAAAGGCAGATAAACATACATTAAAATGAAGATACTGCATACAATTCTTATGAAAAAAACATTATTTTACCAAAAGGGCACATTGTTTTACCAAAAGGGCCACACTATACGGCATTATTTCAACTCAGCTGTTTTGCATGTACAACACAGCATTTCATGGATACTTGACAATACCCAAAATAAATAACAGTTACACTGTCTTTCATGATAACATGAGAGTAACAAGATAATAAGTCCCTACCACAATAATGGTTACATATGTATGAAACCGTACTATGAAAAGAACTTTACAGACTATTTGGGACCAAGTAATGGATGTACAATGTTTGAAATAATAAAACAAATAAAAACACTATAAAAATACCAGTGTTCTTCATTAGAGCAGCAATGTAAGTTGTTTTACCACCTGGTGCAGCGCTGCAAAAGGCATAAACTTTCTTCAGGAAAATAAAAGCATTGCAAAAAGAAACATTTTCTGCATTGCTATCAAAACCAATAAGGGCTCATTAAAAATATGAATGATAATACCAACATCTTATAACCTAAGAAGCACAGACACTCTAAAAAGCAGTCATGCATGTCACAATCATGTCAGAGCTTGACCATGTTAGCCACTGTATGAACACTTTGAATATTAGCTACATTTTTACAATGATGTTTACTTACGCCATATCAACAACTCGTTCCTTCTCTTGAGGAGCCAAGGCCATGACAGGCAGAAAAGAGCTTGCACTTTGTAACTACAAAAAGAACTAGTAGTGAGTGAATCGTGCAATATTAAATGAAAAGCAATCAGAAGCCAGTGGTAGAAGGCCACCTACCATGTAGAAACCAGCCATATACTCAGGAGTGGCACCAATTGGCACTTGAGAATCATACACAACAAGTCCAACCTGCGGGTAAAAAATTCATCCCAGTTACTTGTAAGGTTTTGATGCTAGTACTCATGACAAAAACAACTACACAATAAAAAGGAATCAATAGCAACAAAGAAATATAAGGTCCAGATTTGCAAGACATGAGTCCTTCTTACCTTTGACCATTTGCTTAAAGGATCCAAATTAACACCCCTATTTATCAAAACATCAGCCAAATCCCTTCTGCGTGTCTGAGTGATGGCAGAAGAAAAATTTATACTATCAGCAGGGAACATGAATAAATCCACATTAAGATAGAAACCCCAAATGACAGAAAATGACATGCAACCTTCAATGTATTAGTCCTTAGACATATAGGGCGTGGCTTTTCAAAGGCTTCAATCAGTTCCATAAGTTCAACAACTGGAAACATCTGAGACAAAACAAAATACGAAGTTTTCTTGTAAATTTTCATTACGCATGAACGAAAAACAACTCCCTTTCTCTGTCCAGTCACATCAAGGTAAAATGAACTCAAAGGGCAATAATAGCATTTGGCAAGAACTTAATGTTCAATATGCTTGCAGTAACCAACCTCCACTAGAGCACCCATTAGAAACTCATTGTAGCCATAGTACGTGCAAATATCTTTCTTAAGCTGTTCAACATAATCTTTCCTGGTTGCCCCATCTTGCCTTAAAACGTTAAAATTTGAAAGAACACGAACAACTACAAACGAACATTTAAAAGAGTTACAACAACATAGCATGTATTTAAATATTCGTTTCGAGCCTTCCAATATGAAAATCCTTCTTCCCAAAGCAACAATAGGAGAAGCAACTAAATTGATGGATTGGAAAAAACGCGGACTACTTTAGCCAAACACACACTTATAGCACAACCTGGACAGTATCCACGACAGTCAAAGAGAGTAAGCAGCATAGTAAAACTTACTCTCTTTAATTCTCCTTTGGAGATTAGAAAGATCGGGTGGACGCAAAGCCTCTTCTTCGAGTTCCTAACAGNACTATATTATTATCATCTTTTAATTTTATTTCAATAATTTTAACTTTTTAATTTAATTATTCAATATAATTTTTTAATTAATGATCATGATGTTACTTACATAAAATCATGTATAATATCAAGGTTAACATTTATTTACGTAAAAAGAACAAATTTTACTATCTTTTTTTTAAACATAATAATTTTTCACCACGAAAATTATAACTTTTATTAGGAAAGATTGAAATTATTTAATGTATATTATTCAAAGATGATGACTTTACTTGGCTTGATGTGTTAAACTATGTAAATCACATACAAAACTCAAATCAAACCACTTTTCATTTATTAGATTGTCTAACATTTGTGATGACATAATCATCCTATTTAAATCCTAACACAACACATGATAAACGACTTTAATTAAATAAAAATCATATCGGAAATGAATTATAATTTATATAATGAATTTAATGTATTATAACCTACTCAGTTTTTATCTAAAAATTTAAAAGATATAAATAATTGGAGTATACAGAGTTGTTATCTAACACTTAATGTATTTTTTTGTAATGTACACTTTCTCATACTGTCGTTTTCAATACTTATATGATCTAAGTGTTTATAAATAGCTAATTTAGAATTAACAATGGTAAATTAATTATAATTGTTTTTATTAATAATACAGGTTTTTTTATATACATAATATATAGATGTACATATTATAATATTTTTGCACTACAATATTTAAATCATTTTAAGAGTAATAATTTTGAAAGCAATTCCTTAATTATAAAATTATATTAATTTTTATAACTTTTTAATATTATAAATTATTATTTTTTCATTATGTATTTTTATGTGTATGATTTGAGAACTTTAATTCTTAATTTTTTGAATGAAGGCTCCTACCAATATGAATCATCCATCACATCTTTCACCAAATCCAATGACATTAGTTACAAATAATATTCAAAGTTCTTGTGAAGACCTTTTTGTTGGTGTTCATGATCAAGATGTTGTTTTTTATCATAATCATGTTCCAATTCCTTCTAGTGTTGTTCTTGCCACTAATAATACTCATCTTCCTTCCCCTCATAACATTACTTTATCCAATAACATTGAGTCTGGTTGGGTTCAGATGTCCAATCACTCAAATAACTTATCTTCTTACAAATTGAAGTCACATTTGTGAACGATATATATAAGCGTTAGACAGAAAATGAACACATGTGCATTTCAATGAAATTTTAGCATTTCATTTTTCTTAAATATTTTTAATTGTGTACCTGATAATATTACATAAAAATTAAATATATACACATGTGTGTATATATATAAAAGTGGATACAAAATTTAGTAGCTCCTTTTTTATGAATTAACTTTATTTTTGTACAAACTATTTCTTTTTGGACTTAAAGCTTGGGGTGAAGGAGATTGGAAAGACATTTCTAAATTAGACGTTGTATCAAAGTTTCCATCTCAAGTAGCAAGTCATGCTAAAAAATACAAGATTCATCGTAAAAGACATCATCAATTAATAACAACATTTTGTAATAACACATGTTATAATACAGTAGTTAAGTTACTATTTTGAGAACTATTTTATATATAAATAAATACATATTTTCTCTTTAAATATAATTATTATTAAAAGCATTTATTTTTATATAAATAATAAATTCATGTACTCATAAAAGTAAAACCAATTAAACTAAACAAATATTAGAAAAAAAAATCTCTTTATTAATTAAAGTATATGTATATGTTTTTAAATTTTAGATTTCTTGCTTCCATTAGGTTTCTATGAGCTTCCAAACACGTTCTTCCTGTTCCTATCACGTTCTTCCTGTTCCTATCATGTCATTGGACGAAATATCATTAAAAAATGATGTGTTGAACTGTACAAATTACATGAAAAACTCCAATAATTCAATTGTCACATCTCCTTGCAAGAAATGCAAGCATTGGATTGAAGATGAACGGTTGTTTTAGGTCATTAAAGACCGTAGTCTATCTTTCTTTTCTCCTCAAACTTGTTATCTTTCTTTCACACACATTAGGTTGTCTTCTACCATCGTAACACCATTTGACGTTTTTCTTCATATCCGAACTTTATCATGTGAAAACAAAATGAAATAAAACATGCACAGAGGTTGAAATGAAAGCTACGGAGACAATTAACGAAGATTGAGGGAGAAGAAAATGGAGAAGAATCATTTTTAACTTTTATTTAGAAGAATAAAGGGTCATCAAGGGTCTACTTCTAGACCGTGTGGTTTGAAGAGTATAGATACGGAATGGTTTACATATTTTTAACAATTGTGACATATATATATATATATATATATATATTAATTTAATTATCATTATATTCACATTTTGTTATTTATTTATATTAATACGTTAACCTATCAAGTAATAATTTTAATTAAATAATTTTATATTATAAATTATAATGTAATAAAATCATATAAGTTGTATCATATTGATAACATATACCAATGACGTGTTGAGGTCATTTCTTTTCCAATGTATGCTATGAGTGGANCTCGATATCATAATCATCCGAATCCGAACCAGAACCCGAGTCCGAACCCGGGGCTTTCCCTGCAAATAAAAACAATATACAAACATTAGAAGAAAGTAACAACAGCAATCTCGAATGCTACACGCGCGAGCATGCGAGCGGGCACCTTCATCATCATCGCTTCCTTGGAGGAAATCGTCGGCTAATGGATCATCCCCTTCAGAAGAGAGCTCCGACGCCGAATCGGAGTTGTCATCGCCGAGTTCAAGTTGCTGCGGTTGCTGCTGCTGCGACGGCATGTCTTCTTCGGAATCGGAGCTGGAATCGTACATGGGTTGGGTCTTCTTAGGGTTCTTCGGTGACTTGCGTGCCTTCGAAGGTTTCTTCCTCGCGGGAGCCATTAGAAAGTAGTGAACAAAGCAGTAAATCGGTAGTGTGGTTTGCGCGCTGAGTTTCTTCTTCTTCTACTTCGCAAAAAAAATTATAATTCGGCTAGGGTTTAGGGTTTACCAGAATAAACGCCACGACGTCGTTTTATGCTTCGCTTACTATATTTTGTATTTCGGATCCCAAATGAGACCAAGGGTTGGGCCCTTGGGCCTTGCTTCTTTACAGAATTATCAATAAATCAATAATTACTAATTTCGTTTCATTTTATATTTTTCTCATAGTTAAATAAATTTTTGTTAATTTTAAAACTAGTTTATATTGAAATTCATAAGTTCAAATTATTTTTGTTACCATTCTATTTCCATATTTTAATAAATATATAAACATTGATTCCAAAATTAACTTTATTACTTTTTAAGTAATAATATTTATGTGTATATATTTATATACATACATACATATATATTTATCAAAATTAACATCTAACATTATTAATTAAAAAATAATGAAATAAATATTATAATAAAATTTACATATTGATTAAATATTAGTTATACAAAATATTTAAAATTTTTGGAGGCATCAATGGTAATATGAACCAATTTTGAAGATGCTAAAGATTTATTTAATTTTAAGGAGATTTCATAATCATGTTGAATAGATGTAATTTTCACATTGTTTCACTTTGAAAAAAGTAATTTTCTCTTCGAAATTAATTTTGATTTTTAAGTAACTTGTAATAGCTTATTATGTTAAAGATGAAAAATATTCTGGTAGCAGCTAAGCTTTTACTTTTAGCCTATTGATCAATTTGAAGATAAATCACTATCACATTATCACTTTAGTCAATTCTGACTAAAATGGTTTTTTAGGGTGACTTTATTTGTATGCATAGAAAAACTATAACAGTAACCAAACTAAAAAAATCATTCAATTTGATAGAGGTTAATTTGATATATAATCAATAAATATATTTTAATTAATGAACGAAAGGAAAACAAATAAATTTCAACCTTTTTTAGTTTGATTCCACGTAAGGATGAGAAAAAGAATCCTTGCTTGCGGGTACGGGTGAATAAAATCGAATAATAATTGGTACTTACGTATATTTATTATCATGATCATGTTTGGTATTCACTTCTAAAAAAGATAAAAATAAAAATTTAATTTATATTTTATTAAGTTAAATTTAATCAAAATTAAAATTAATTTTTATTTTATTAAGTTAAATTTAATTAAAATTAAATTTATATTTATATTTAATTTAATTTATTACATTTTATATATTTTTTTGTAATTTTATTTTAAATTTTATAAAATATATATTTTTTAAAATATTTACAAATATCCATAGATATCGTTTTAAAATATTCACGGATGTTTTTTAAACAAGTATTTGTATAGATAACGGGTGAATTTTTTTTGCTGGTGAGTCAGATAGCATAGCAGATACACACTTTCCATGTCCGACCCGTTGTCATAGAACATGATTCTTTATAAATAATAATTATTTGTAATTTATTTATTTATGCATAAAAAACAAAAATACTTTATGTCATGTGTATATTTATCAAGTAGGGACAATAGATAATTTGAGTTGAACAGTGGATAGATCAACTTCAAATTGATTGGAAATGGAGATCAGTTTACAACTCAAAGACCTATGATATCATTTGGTTCAAGACCATTAAATTGAGTCTGAAATTATGTTTAAGTTCATTTAGTTTGAAAATTAGTTGAAAACAAGGAAATTGATGAAAATGTATTATCTCAACCACTTTGGTTCCTAAATTAAATTGGTTTACTTAACAATATTATCATTATATTCTTAACAATATTACTCATGTCACAAGATAGGTATTGTATAAGATGCTTGGATAGTTTATAAGTTAATAACAAACATTAGAGTTGAATTTTCATTATTCAAAGTAAACAAACAAATCTTTATTCTTCAATGCATGATGATAAGAATAAAAATTTGAGTACAAGTAGTATCACACAATGGACAAAACAAGTATGAATAAAGCCCTCAAGCATTCAAACCAAAAATTAAAGCATTCCTATGCAAAACATTGCAATAAAAAACATGAAAAAATGGTAATTGACAATTAGAAATGGCTGTTCCCAGCGACTTGTCATGTCCCTTAACCTGTAACTATTCTCCAAGGTATTCATTTTCTCTACTACCAATCTCAAGAAAAGCTTGGGGCAGCCAGTTTAAAATGTGTTTCTGAAACACCTTCACTTAACTGCAAATGTTATTTAGGCTGTTCCTTTTCCCTGATAATGGTATCAAGATTAGTTTTTAGTTCACTCAAATCCAAGCTATTGGAATCCGCAGTTGCCAGCTTCATTTCATACTCAGCCACTTCTCTTTTAACTCTATCAGTTGCCAGAATTTTCTCAGATATTTGTTCAAAACCTTTGTGGATGCTAACCAGGAGCCTATAAACCTGCAGCCCTGTTGGATCCTTCTTTGCTTCCCTGAAAGGATAGAAAATGGAACAAAAATTGCACATTACTTACCTTTGGTTTAAAAGAAAAATAACTAGTAGTATATTTTCTCTTCATCTAACTCTTCTGATTGCCAAGTATATTTCAATTTCATTTCTACTTTCTTGTCTGTGCATAATGATTAGTAGTAGTTGAATGGGTATATAGGCGCTGGCAATAGAACTTCCATACCTAAAAACAATTTCATCCGCAACAGCATATGTTCGATGCAAGCGTTCTCGGATAGAATTACTCTCCAGTTGAATCTCCCGAGTATCTTTCAAGATACGCTCAATATCCGCGTCTTGTTTCCGGGTATTTTTTGTAATCTCCTTTATCCTGTCAGTATAGGATTTCCTGGATGCTGCTTTCTGCTGCTTCTCAAGATCTGCAGAAAGTTTCAAATTTTCCTACTCCCTGGAGAGTGATGGAAGGAGAGAACATCCAAATCAGAAGGTAATTACATTTTCTTAGGACTTAATGCATAAGGAACTAGAAGAAACATAACTTACAAGAAATTTCCATATTTATTAGTAATTGGAAAAGAAGATATGAAAGTAAGATAACATCATTTAAGGAATGCTTGAAGGGAATCAGGAAAGAGGGTAAAAGGACAAACAGTATATCATTAAGCACTAATTACTAAACAAAACTAAAAAACATATGGCTCATTAGAAGTTTCCAGCAAAGATTTCACCAGAAATAAGAAATGTAGTAAGCAGAGTCTCATCTCAGTCCATTTTCAAAATTTGCATTTTCACTCTGCCTTTGGTTACTTTTCTTTAGAAATTTATTTGAAGTGGAAAAATCAAAGCACAATAAACTTCATATGGACCTCTTCATAATTTCAGATGAAATGAACTCCTCTTCCTGCTGCACTTCTCTTATCTTTTGAAGCACTTCTAGTGCATCTGGATTGTTTGAATAGAGAGACTCCTCAAGACTTCTCTTTCTCTCCTCCAGAGGTTTTCTTGCAGTGTTCCTGAGACACATTGAAAACAAAGAAGTTAAAAATCATTCCACTTACTTCACTCTCTTAAGAAACTAAATAATTATTCTGTGCTAAAGAATTATCAGTTTTGCCTTACCAAAGTGATAACCCCCCCTTTTTCATTGGAGAGGTCAAATTGAGCATTGAACTATTCTATGTTGTTCCTATGCTGACCCGGAACTACAACAGCATAAGAGATGCCATACTGAAATAAGTAATTCAAGAAAAATTGCATGAACAGTTTGACTAACCACTCAGACTCCAAAGTCAAAAGGTAATCCCTTTTAGCTTGTACTTGTTCATTCAACTGGTCAACATAGAAGTCAACAGAGTGTTGGTTATTAAATACCATTTCAGCTGCTTCCTTCATCAGTTCCAATTCTCGTTTAAGATGCTCTAGTACTGAAGTCTTTGCAGTTACTTCATCAAAGAGTTCTTTCTCCTGAATTTGAAATTTATCAGTTTCAATTCAAGTCTCAATCTAGTTCAGCATCAAGCCTAAAGAAGAGAAACACATAAGCCATATACTTCAATTTTGTAAGACCTTTAATACACTTTAAATTCAATAATACCTCTCTGTTATACACAGCTTTATAGTTGGACATAAAAGATAAAGCAAGAAATAGGAAAAAGCAGAAAAATCATATTTTCTCAACTACACTACGAGATATTTTTAGGAAACATACTTTTTGTTTCAAGACTGTCAAATTTCCACCTCCAATATGAGCAGGATTCTGTTTATTTCCTAACGAACCTCCTCCAGCATCAACTTGTCCTTCAGACAGTTCCTTCGCATTTAATACACAGTTGAATTCATCCTTTATAAAACCTTCCATCCTAGAGCTGGATTCATCTTTGTTGGCCTGATTGATAAAAACATCACCCTTGGTACTCTCTGTTCCATGTGTCTGGGTGTCCATCATAAGAGCATTTAATGTGCTTTCAACTATAAAATAATCACCAATTATATCTTCATTGTCTTCCTTTTCAGTCGGGTCCTACAAAGAGCTTAGTTAGTTAGCTTCTCTTAGTCTGTGTTTAGGTCTCCTACATATATGGTTGGCTTGGCAACCATTTTACCTTTTACACAACTACGAAAAGCAAGCCAAGACACCCACACTAACATCAACCATCATAGATACAATACAAACATTTTGCCATGAAAAAGATCATAAATCTCCAGTACCAAAAAGAGAAAATACAAAGACACAAAGAGAGCTACAAATATGGCTATGGTACATGAAATCATAACAACTGAAAATATAACGCTCCAAAGTCCACACAACCAAAACAAGAGCATGCGGTGGTGAGGGATTGTTCCACAAAACAGCACTCTTCAAACATCAATCGTATTAGCACACGGTTTTAAGAATTACCATACCAAGAAGGCTCACTTTTTCACACTATACATAATCAGGTTAAGCTGGATAGCACACAAAATATGCTTCAGCAGCTTACCATGCCTAGTTTAGTTCACAATTAACAGACAAAACTGACATACCATTGCAACCCCATATTCCTTAATTGTATCAGGAATGAAAATCCACCAAAAGACACATGTATGTCAATTGTCAAGAATTATAATTAACTGACAAACTCAACTTATAAGATACTATTATGATGACTCTTATAAGGAAATAAATTAAGTCATCAAAAGATAACAGTGAAAATAAATAACATTAACATGCCCAAAGTTTGATTTCAATCTACAGCCAGGATACCAGACTAAATTGTTCAGCAAACTGGAATTAAAAAAAATGAAAACAAAGAATGAAAAACGACACGAAGATTTGATCACTGTTGAATGATCTGCTATTCCCACTCACTATTCCATTAAGCTGCAATGATTATACAGAGACAGAACACCGCACACCAGAATACTATTTACAAATGGAAAATCTAACTAAAAAGTAATCATTTCTATTGGTTCCTATACATCTAAACACTGACCCAGAAGGGGAAAATGCAAAAATTGAGCATTGTGACAGTACCTGGGTGAAGCTGATATCTTGAGCGTGACCCAAGTTTTCAATCACGAAGGTAATTTCAGTGACAAAACTCCGGAGAATGTAAAAGTTTGAAGCTCTGAATTTGTAAAAATGTCTAAGTGCCTCCTTAGAGAGTCTTCGCTCTGTTTATCAGACACCAAACGTCGTCGTATCCCTCGTGGCAAAATGTTTTATTTTAATTTAAAAGATGAATTTTAGTATTCACACTATACAAATTAAATTATCAGTTTATAAAACTCATATGACAAGTGAGTAATTTGAAGATACAAGATATTTAAAATTTATGGTGAATAAAATGCATTATAATACAATGTTTAGTTTTAACTATTAATCAAATTTTAAAATATTGATATTTAATTTAGAAAGCAATTATATAATGCTAAATATATCAAAACTCATCACGTAGAATTATGACATCGATTCTTTTCTTTTTGTAAAATAGACAATTTTTTATTTTATTTATCAAAATATATTATTCTATTAAATTATAGTAGTTAAAATGTGGATAATAAGTATATATTTTGATTGAATTAATCAATTAGTTCATTGAATGTTAATTGATTCTCGATCTGATAATTTGACCATTAATTTCATGAATTTTGTAATATTTGTAGAGACTTTATATTTATTATTGTCATGTTTTAAAATAACTCAACAAAAGGATTAATATGATATTATCAATAATATAAGTAGAGGTTGAGAAAAATATATGTTCAAATAGATAAGAGGTTGAGAAATTTTCTTAAATATATTTTCATTAAACAACTTTTATAAAAAAAATTGTTAAGAAATAATTCTTTAATTATATGATATTAAGGAATCAAGTTTTCTTTATAATTTGTTATGTTTTTATATTCTCATTATAAGAAATAACAATGCATTTAATAAGAAATAAAGGTAATATTAAAGACTACTCAATAAATAAAAGTTTATATGAAATTTAGATAATTTTGCATAATGTTGTGTATAAGAAATGTGCAGGTATACTAATTCAGATAAAAAAAATTGACAACTTACTTTTATTTTTACTGGTAGGTATATCAAATTTGATTTTACGAAATAACATGATTAACACTACAAAAATAAAAGATTTTACCAGGGGTTTTTTTCCGCATTACCGGCGGTTTTAACCCCTGGTAAATTCATTTCCCGCGGTTGGCAAAACCACTGGAAAAACCACCGTCACAAAGATTTCCGGCGGTTTTGTTTGTAACCGCCGCTATTTGCGGGGTTTTTCAAAAACCGCCGTAATTTGCGGGGGTTTTTCAAAAACCGCCGTAATTTACGGGGGTTTTTACAAAAACCGCCGGTAATTGCTGAGGTTGTAATAAACCGTCGGGATTTGCGTGAGTTATCAAAAAACCGCCGGTAATGAAAATAGTTTAATTTTTTTTATTTCTCAAATGACTTGATTAATGTGATTAATATAAAATATGTTTAATATTAAATCAAAATAATATAAAACCAAAAATAATTATTATTATATGAAATAAACTGTAAAATTAAAAACAAATTAACTTGTAAACTTAAGAAATAACAAATGTTTGTCCTAAAAATTAAAAATAAACTTCTACATAATAAATTAAAAAGTGTTATGCAATAACAATTATCACTCTTGTTCTTCATTTTCTTCATGCTTCTTTATCATATACCTACAAACAAACAAATATATGAGTGAGCTAAGCATTCAACAATTCAAACCTTATAAGAGAATAATAAGCAAACAATAATATATATAACAAATGCCCAGAATTAAAGTTTAGTGAAGATTGATCACCAAAAATTAACATCAATAACCAAAACAGATTATTATATAGACACAAGCAGAATTTCTATATGATTTTTACCTTGAGTGTCTGGTCCAAGTTTAGTTTCTATTAACAAAACAACTATCAACAAACAAGACACTTTAGCCCATAAACATAATGCATTCATACACAAATCATATTTCAATCCCTTATCCAAGTCATATATAAATACCATTATTTTTACACATCATCAAACATTTATAAACAATCTCAACCATATATAATCATCACACATTAACCTTATATACTCATCATGCATATTCAGTTATATTCCCCAAACAATCTTAAACCCAAGCTAACCACCAAGAATTATTTCCACCAAGAATTATTTCCTGTTAATAAACTCTAATAATCACTATTACATAAAAAGTGAATCCCTTTACCAACTAGTTCATAAATAAATTATAACTCATCTTTTCAAATTCATTCTAACACATAACTTGATAATATAATACTATACTAATAAAAAACACACTAATATTATTATGACTTTTAGTGTCATAACTTAATAAAAAATTATACTATGGTTTTTTTAATGGTTGAAAATGGTATAAAAGTTTATAAAATTTAAACTTTTTTATTTTTCTAATATATACGTGTGTTTTTGTGTAAGAATGAGAATGTGTATTGGAAAATTTGAATTGTATTCCAAAAATATTTTTTGTCCTGTCCAAATGTTCCTATAAATTTTTTTCTTAGCCCATTTGAGCCATGAATAAAATACATTTGAGGTATGAAGGAGATTGACGAGGGAAAAAGGCATAGTATATTTTGTTTTCATTTATATTACCACTAAAAAAATCAATTAAGGATTTTTATAGAATAAGTTAACAATTTCAAAACTAAAAGGATAAGACATTTGTAGAAGTTGAACTACAACACCTTGACAAACCGGCATCATCAAATTCCCAAACTTTTACAGTTCCATCCCTACCCTGGCTACACATATACAGAATAATGAATATTGATAAAGCAAGAATATAATTGGATATTAAAACAGAACCGGGGGAGATCAAGTAGAAAAGGATGCACCTGGCAAATTTATTGGTTCTGAGGGAAGAAGCACAAGCAACAACAACAATACCATGTGCAGCACTATGTAACCTGCAGTATAAAATTAATTTGTACCATGGATCATATTTCTGAAAATCAACGATATTCTTCACAAATATGAATGCCAAAAAAATTATAGAACTAAGCACCATGCAGATGACACGGTTCGATGTTGAAGGGTATCCCAAATTCGGACTTCACCATCAGCAGAACTGCAAGCAAGAAGAGGATGATGCAACTAATTATTAAGTGAAACTAATTGTATACGCAACCAACTAAATCAGGGAGTTCTTGTGGCACACCGATGGGTATGGCATCCAAGGCAACTCATCATTTATTGAACACAGATTTTACTTTTAGTGTTAAAAACTATTATAAAAGTAACTAGCAGCCAAAGAAATGCTTGATAGATATTGGATGCCAATGTCCCATACCCAGGGAAAAAAATGTGTACCAGAGTAATGCCCATAAAACAAAAAACGACAAACAATTGCAATGAATACCCGGAGAATAATATCGGCTTAAAGGGATGAAAAGAAATGTCTGTGACCGAAGCTCGATGGCCTCTTAGCACTGCCACGGGATCAGGAGGTGGTCTTCTACTCATTCTTTGTTCTTCTTTATGATCCACTTGAACTGAACTGACAGTAGGCTATCCAGCTCACCTATATTGACTTGTCAAGTAAAAAAATTGAATTTCCTTAGCTGTCATCGAACAGGTTTTACGATGTTCTAATTTCAGATTTCTATCCTGTAAATCACTGAATTATAACCAATGTTTTAAACTCGGCACTTTCACACAAATTCAAAACATTTCACTTTCAAAGTTCTGTTTCTCAAGTTACTAGTAGCCAGCACATTCACAAGAGCAAAATACACATTATCAACGAAAGCTGGATTGATTTTTTCTCCATTGTCACAGCAGAAATCGCAAGGAAGTCAAACCAGAGCATAATTTTGAATATAGAGAGTTTAGAGTTGCCACTATTCTAGAAACCTATAAAATATTGTAAAGATAAAACATGATGCAGTAGTACTTACATATTTCTTGTGTCCATAGCCCTCATCATCACGCTTCTCATAGCAAGGCTTTCGGTAGCCCTCCTCCTGAGGTGGATGCCCATAATCATTCTCAACACCTCCTTGGCTCCCATAGCTAGGTTTCTCATCATACTCACTCCTCCCTCCATAACCATACCCATTGTCCTGTTGTTGTTCTTCCCCATACCCAGATCCATATTCACTCCCCTCCGTTTTTTCACTATACCCGGGTCCATATTCAGAACTTTGATAACAACAACTTGACTGCAATATGTACCTAAGGAATATCAAAGAAATGCAGAGAAACCTCAGTTACAAGGATTAGAAGAGTATTCTATTTTCAGTTCCCCAAACATACAATTATACTGGAATGAACATTAAAATAGGGGAAAAGCATATCGTACCACATACAAGCAATCAATCCCACTAAAATAGCTTCCATACCTGGAATTTCTTCTCCTCCACAACCATACCCAAAATCATGGGACACCGGAAGAAAACCCCATTCAAATCCCTAAAAACAGAACCCGAATTCAAACTTAAATAAATCGCGAATTCCATCCAAGTCTCTGTTGTCGCTAAAACGCTGGAGAACGAGATCCTCGCGTCGTGAAAACGCCGCGCTTGAGTCACCGGAAACTCGCCGTGAAGACACTGAAACACCGTTGTTGCGAAAAAAGTTCCCCTACCACCACACCCACGGACACAGGCCATCGCACCACGGATTAGGTATGACTCTATCAACTTCTTCCGCAACGGGCTTCCTTGTTTCTCTTCTCGACAAATTTCTTTGCAAGTTTAATTGCGAAAGTGGAATCAAGCCCAAGAGCTCCGCATCTTGTTTGCAGATGAAGAAACAACTCCACACCTGGTTTGAAGATGAAGAAACGACACGGGGAACAAATAGAGTTGGGAGAAAATAAGACCAAGAGGCAGAAGCGGGAATGAAGGAGTGGAAAGGACACTAGGGTTAGGGAAAAATTATTCTAAAATAAATAAATAACTAAATATTAGGGACGGTTTTGTTATAAACCGCCGGAAATTAGTTGAGGTTTTAAAAACCGCAGGAAAACAACCTCGCCTAAAATGTATTATTTTTGTAGTGTAACCTTGTGACTTAATTATTCACATTTTTTTTTTATATTTTGAGTATGATATAATATTTTTTTAAACTTGAATATGAAAATAGTTTATCGTCTTTAATTATTTTTTCATTAGTTAGTATCATTTTCCTTTATATTCAATGAGTTTCTTTCTTTCACTTTCAATTTTTTTTATTTTAAATATTTTTGGACTCGTGACAGGAATTCGTGTTAGAGTTGTTTTTCAAGCATATCACAAGTTGTTTATTGATATTTTTGTTTCACAAATGGAATTAAAGTTAAAAAGAGAATCTAGAGGAGAGCAAAATGAAAGAAAGAAAGAAGAGAGATACAAAGATTAAAAACAAAGGTTTGATCGAAAACATACGTAATAATGATGAAAGAAAAATAAAAAATAAAGCTAGAAAAAAATAAGATTAGTGAAGAAAAATAATTGAAAGAGAAGAAGTTGAGAAAAAAGAGATGAAAAAAAGGAGTTGAGTAAAAAAAAGAGAGGAAAAAGAAGGGGTTGAGGAGAAAACTAAAATGCATGAAAGAAATATAGAAAGATAAATAAAATGAGAAATAAACAAAGGAGTGATTGAAAAAAATATATAATAATAATATATTCGTTATCATTATGTGAATATTATTAAAGGAGAATTGTTTATAACATGTTTTTACAAGAGCTTATTTGGTTTTAGTGAATAGTTATTGTACAAATCCTAGTTTTGAAAAAAATAATAATAAAATGATGTTTTTTATTAATCTGAGTATTATATTTCTCAAGAGGAAATATACTCATAAAGATGAATGTTTGGAATAATGAAGAATATTGAGGGAATCAGTATAATTTTGAATTTTTTTATAATTTTTATTATGTATTTAATTAAGAAGTTGAATAATCGTAATAAAAGATAAAACTCAAAAAAATAAGTATTTATGATTTAATTGATTAAAATAATATTAAAATGGACATCCATGACTCAACCTAAGTTTTAATAGGATTAGATTGAAAAAATAAATAAATGTAAATTAAATTGAACTCAATTCATTTAATTTTGGGGTTAAACAAATTTGAGCCAAAATTTATTAATTTATACCATTTTTTATAACTTTTTTATTATAATTGTTTAATATTTTGAAATATATAGGTTGATAATTTTATCTTTTCAATTATTAGAATATTGTTTAATAAAGTTTGTGTTTAAATATTTAATTTATTTTTTTTAAGTTAAATACAATCATTATATTTATTAACGTGTTTAGTGAAATAGATAAATAATTATCTAGTGTTATAAAAAAAAGTTTAATTCTAGTTTTGAACTTTTTGTTCAAAGTCGTATACTTTTTAAAAAGTTGGTTCCATATTTTGTTAAAAACGGTTCAAAATAGTCATTTTAGCTTTCGGCATTAGGTTCAAAGTGATGTGTACAATTTTTGCAATACGTGACACATTTTATATATTTTAAGGTGTAAATTTTAAAATTAAAATTGAATGACGTGGTTTAACTGAGGGTTAAATAAAATTAGAATTAGGATTAGTGATTTGGGATTCAAGAATATGGTGAAAGTGATCTTTAATTTGGGTTCATGGTTCGTTGAAGGTGCAATTGGAAGACTCCCTACCAGCAACCCATTTAAGCATTCATAATCTCTCTTTCTCAATTCGTTTTTCAATTCAACCACAACAAAAGAAAGAAGGAAACCTACTCCATCCACCTCCATCTTCTTTGTGTGAGGCTACTACAACACAACCTTCACCCACAATTGCACTTTTCCAAGGCGCATCGTTGGCCAGGAGCTCCACCAACGATACCACCGACCCTTTTTCTCAATTATTGTTCAACCTTATTCTCCTCTTTGAATGAGTTTTTTCTAGTTGTGGGTGTTTAAGGTGAGGAAGAAGACAACAATGAGGTGATGGTTGCCGAAATGTTGGGAGAGAGATGGAGTTTCTGATTGTTTGTGAATTGCAAATTGGCAATTAGGGTTTCTGATTTTGCACATGATTTTGTGAATTGAGATTCTGATTTTGAAAATTGCAATTGGGGCTTTTGATTTTACACATGATTTTGCACAAACCCTAACCCTTTTTTGTTACCTAATAACTTTAACTTTTTAACATTTCCACATACCTTGCCAGCTCAATTCACTTCACCTTGCCACACAATAAAAAATTGTACACATCATTCAGTTTTCGCCACAAAGACAATTGCACCGTTATGTTTTTAACTCCGTAAAGTCAAAAGGATAATTTTGAATCGTTTTTAATGAAATATGGGGTCTTACTAAACTTTTTTAAAAGAAAGGATGACTTTGAAAAAAAAACTAAAATTAGGGATTGTATTAAACCTAAAAAAAGTAATCAAATCAAAATCATTTTGGTTATATTATAAAAAATATATAAAATAAATTGATAAAATAAAAATATTATCGAGTGACTCAGCACACTAATCCATCAACTTGTGGTGATTGAACAAATGACAAAGATTTTGATTCACCAAATAATGAATTGGGTTGAACTTACTTTTTTTAGTTTAACATTTTCACTTGAATGGATTTGGGGGAGAGTGATTCAGGAGATTTGAGAGGATTTGAAAGTAAATTTTTTTGTTGTTTATTTGAGTGAATTTTGAAGTAAATGAGAGTGGATTTGGAAGTAAATTTTTTTAATCTGTCACGTCAATCAAATTCTACACTAATTCTCACAAACTTTACTTCCAAATTCACTCCTACTTACCTCAAAATCCACTCAAATAAACAACAACAAAATTTACTTTCAAATCCTCTCAAATCCCATCAATCACTCTTTGCCAAATCCATTCAAGTTAACAAGTGAGTCAAATGAATTGAATTTACTTACTTTTTGATCCAGACATAAGTCCCAGAAGATATGACAATACATACATAATCCTTAAGAGCACCGTTGGAAGGTTGTGAAACGAGTTATGAGATGCTTAAGTAACATTGTCACTGATGCCTTATTCATTATTCCTTTAACTACTTTCCTCCTAAATTGTTTTCAATGATGACTGGGGATCTGATTTGGATGATAGAAAATCTATAAGAGGGATTTGTATCTATCTTGGTAATAAGATAATTTCTTAGCACTTTCACAAACAAAAAGTAGTTTCTCGGCACAACACTAAAGTTGAATACGCGAGCATCATTGTACTATTCTCATAAGTTATATATATTTATTATTATTCTAGGATAGCTTAATCTTCATTCTACCACTCCAACTATTTATCCAAACAATTTAGGAGTTGTCTTGCTCTCTACCAATCTCATTCAACACTCTCTTACCTAAAAGCCATAAGCCAAGCAACTAAGAATTAAGCTTGATACTTATGATTGGTGAATTATGTATTAAGGAAGAGATAGGAGTAGATGAGGTATCAAAACTCATGATGAAAAAAAGAGTTTTAAATACCATGTAAGATAATTTTTTTTAAGAAGAATAATGATTTTGTATATTATTGATTAATGAAAAAAGATACAAAATATGTAAAAAAAAAATGAGATGCTCACCTTTAATATTGAATTCTTAATTAATTTTTGTATTAACTCCATACATTTATATACTAACACCCATGGTATAATGATGTATTTAGTAGAAATTTTATGACACCAGTAGACATTAAACCGTATTTAGTGAATTTGTTTTTGAAATTTAAACATTTTTACATAATTTTACCTATAAAAGAAATGTTCTTTTAATATAATAATAGATATATAAATTCAAAAAGTTCATAACCCACTAGCTTATATTTCTTAAATGTTAATATTCTTTCTTAAATAAATTGAATCTATGTAATTCAAATAGTAAATAAATTATTATTAAAATTCATAATATATAAATCATTCATAAATTATAATTTATGGTAAAGTATGAACAGATATTTTTGTCAACTATTCAAGAGGTTACATAAACCATATATATATATAATAATAAAACATTTTCTGTTTTTTATTTTTTAAATTTTAACTATGAAAAAATATTATTATTTTTAACGTTGAAAATTACAAATTCGATAAAAATAAAGAAAATATTTCTATGATTAGATACAAATTACACGTTGTTTTTTTTAACGTAAAATTCACTTTATTTAACGTTGTCTAAGAGAAAGATTCTTGAAGATAAAATTTCCGTCAAAGGCTCAACGATTGCATTCACATTCTTTTCTCCTCAGTTCTTTGTGAAACAATGGTTTTATGAAAAGCAAAGCTACGAGTGCACCTAAACAACGGAATGCTGCAATATTGAAGGAAATGGGTATTTTAAATGTTCAGAATCTCCTCAAACCAAACATTCTTCATTTTCTTAGTAAGCATATCATAATGGTTGAAAACACACCGAAAACTTTTGATATTGGTTAAAGGGCATGTATACTAGGACTAGATAGAACACACCAACAACTTGTCATGAAAAGTTTGTGTCACACGAACCAAAATTTTCCCTTTATATATAGCCATGATTTTTGGTTCGATGCAGTTGACTCAACACATCAAAACTCTCATTGATTTCATTGATCATGGAAACTGGGAGAGAGGATGAGATTGTGGACATGCCCATGTCACCCCCAGTAGTTGGTTCAAATATTAACAATGACTTTTGTCACCACAAAGAGTTCATGTCTCAGACATATATGCAGAATAAGTACTCAGAGATTGATATAGACACTGAAGATTCCAACTTCGATCAAAATCGCCCCCTCCCCATATTTCTCAAGGTACTAGGAAACAAAGCCTTTAAGTTGTAGGACAAAATGACACAAAGTAATTTTTTAACAAGTAAATAGTGTATGCCTTTTAGTTTGTTGATTGTTATAGTAGTTACCTTAAAACCAATACTTGGCACTGTTTTTTATTGAATGACATCGTATACAAATTGATCTTTAGTATAAGTATGGCTGGTTTATTTTCTAGAGCACTGTGTTGACTATTCAGAGATTAAACCCCCAACTGATGTGTTAAAAAGTGTATTTAGGAGAATGTCCTACCTGCATTCCTCTTCTTTTGTTTTTGTGTTTGTATTTTTCTTTTGTTGCAAATGGATGAACCGATATTAGAATCAAGTAACGAGTATCATTGCTTGTTTGGTAAGCCAACAAGAGTCATAACTGCACTAGTCAAACTGTTTGAAGTTATTTACTCTTCATTTCTCATGTGCAGTTTGAAGATGTGGAGTATAAGGTGAGAAATAGCCAAGCAGGCTCAGGTAACGTTGTGAAGTCAATGATGTCAAAGGTAACCACACACCTCACTGTGGAAGAAGATAGATACAAGAGAATTTTGAAGGGCATCACAGGAAGCATAGGCCCTGGTGAAATTCTTGCGTTGATGGGTCCTTCTGGCAGTGGGAAGACAACCTTGTTGAGAGTTATAGGAGGAAGACTGGTTGACAATGTAAAGGGAAAAGTAACTTACAATGATGTTCGTTTCAATCCAGCTCTCAAGAGGAGGTTAAGTGGTTATCATAATCATATATGTTACTTCAGAAATGGAATCCCTACATTCACACATGAATTGGAAGCATTAGATTAAGATCATAAAGTTCACAATTAAGATAAATATGTTAAGGTGAACTAATTGAGATAAAATAATCTGATCTTCATTTAATGGTTCCAATTATCTAAATTTGTGAATGCATGAACTCCCTGAATGTGTTGCTTCAAGTTCTTGATACTTTCATAGAACATGAATGTGTGCTAATATTTTTATTTTCTTTTTCCCCTACCTGCTAGGATTGGGTTTGTGACACAAGAAGATGTGCTTTTCCCACAGTTAACAGTTGAAGAAACTTTAGTCTTCTCTGCACTTTTGAGGCTACCAGGCAGTATGAGCAAGCAGCAAAAGTATGCAAAAGTAGATACCACCATCAAGGAGCTAGGCCTAGAAAGGTGTGTTTTTCACCATATTGCATATGACAAATTAGAGAGAAGTTACTTCAATTGAAAGACATAATTTTCCCTAAATAATCTCTTGCATAACCATAGATGTCGCCACACAAAAATAGCTGGAGGATATCTCAAAGGAATATCAGGAGGAGAAAGGAAGAGAACCTGCATTGGCTCTGAAATTCTTGTTGATCCTTCACTATTGCTACTTGATGAGCCAACTTCTGGCCTTGATTCCTCCTCAGCAAACAAACTCCTTCTCACTCTTCAAGGACTTGCCAAGGTATCTATAACTAAATTTAATCATGTTCCATTATGGTAAAAATGTTCAATGTAGATATAGAACCTAAATGCATGAATGTATATGCTGAGAGTTACATCTGCTTAACTTGTAGGCTGGAAGGACCATAATCACAACAATACACCAGCCATCGAGTAGAATCTTTCACATGTTTGACAAACTACTTCTGATATCAGAAGGCTATCCTGTTTACTATGGAAAAGCTAAGGAAACAATAGAGTACTTCTCATTTTTGAGATTCACCCCTCAAATACCGATGAATCCTGCAGAGTTCTTGCTTGACTTGGCAACTGGACAAGTGAATGACATAAGTGTTCCACCAGATATCTTTCAAGATCAAGAATCTTCTGGCCCTTCAAAAGTTGTTATTGAAGTAGGATTTTCCTCAGACACATGTCTATATGTACATTTTCATCTCTTACCAGCTTGTTATTAACTATTTCTTTGTTTTGTTAGTATTTACAGCTCAAATACAAATCTCTACTGGAGCCAAAAGAAAAAGAACAGAATCATAGAGTAGCAAGCACACCAGAACACCTTCAATTAGCAATTCAGGTTAAGATGGAGTGGACATCTAGTTGGTTGGACCAATTTATGATTCTCTCCAGGAGAACATATAAAGCAAGAAGAAAGGAATACTTTGATAAGCTAAGACTATTTCAAGCACTTGGGATTGCACTTGTGTTGGGGCTCCTTTGGTGGAAATCTTCAATCAATACTGAAGCTGGACTCAGAGATCAGGTAATTTCCATGGCATTATTTATCTCATGTTGCAATATCAAACTTCTATGACAACTTTTGTTGCAGGTTGGTTTAGCATTCTACATCTGTATATTCTGGACATCTTCATGCATTTTTGCAGCAGTCTATGTCTTTCCATTTGAAGAGTACTACTTGGTCAAAGAAAATAAAGCTGACATGTACAGATTAAGCGTATACTATGCATGTAGCACTCTATGTGACATGGTGGCCACCGTTTTCTATCCTACTTTTTTCATGCTCATCTTGTACTTCATGGCTGGCTTTAACAGAGCTGTTGCTTCCTTCTTTTTGACACTATTAACTATTCTGTTAATAGCTATAACAAGTCAAGTAAGTTGTGTTAAAAGTACTCAATGGATGAGTTAGTGGTTTATCAATCATTCATTCATTACCATCCACAATTATGTCAACAGGGGGCAGGTGAAATGTTTGGAGCTGCAATTATGAGTGTTAAAAGAGCAGGTACTGCTGCTACTTTGCTACTAATGTTATTCCTTCTCACAGGTGGCTACTATGTCCAGGTATGTGCAATTGCTTTATTTTTGGTAAGAATATTTTTCCCATAATAAGTAGCAACAATACTAATAAAATGAGATAAAACCAGAATGCAAGTTCTGAAATTAATTTAGTCAGATATTTTTAGCAAAAATAACTTCTTCTGAAATTAGCTACTTATGTTTCCCTATTTCTCATTTATTAACTATTTCTTCTATGACTAAATTACTTTATATCTTCATTCCTTATCTAAATGTTTACAATTTAAACACTAAGTTACTGGTTTGTGAACAAGTAGCATATGAAGCCAATAATGTAGCCTTAGTTGGGTAATCACTAACACTCATTTCCATTGTGCAGCACATACCAAAGTTCATGAGATGGTTGAAGTATTTATCTTTCATGTACTATGGTTTTAGGCTTCTTCTGAAAGTGCAGTATTCTGGAGATCAGTTATATGATTGTGGAAGCATGGGAGGGTGCAGGACCCTGCAGAGTTCTCCAACATTTGACAGTGTAAACTTGAAGGGTGGATTGAAAGAAGTGTGGATTCTGCTAGCTATGGCATTAATCTTTCGGTTGTTGGCTTACTTGTGTCTTCGTGTAAGAATTGTTGGTAGAAAAAACTAATGTATGATGGATATCATTGCTTGAAATATGTTACAAACTTGCCACCATAAAGAAGAATGAATAATACAAAGTCACTCAATAACTGTGTTTAGTTGGAAAATAAACTCTGAAACTTGTGTACAATAATTCTTGTAAGGTGACTTGTTTGCTAAACATAAAATGGACCGTCCAATCTCTTGTTTCTTACAGTAAACAACCAATGGTCAAGTGAGCTTTGCACCAGTTGTTGTTGCTGTACAAAAGAATAAAACCTCATTCATAAACAAAATATATATTCTTTTATACATAAACACAACTTTATGCTATTATTTAACGTCGAGTAAATAAATCATAAAAAAAAATATGTTTTACTTTTTATTATTACTATCAAACTTTTATTGATAATAAATAGTATTATTATGGACTTATAATCGATCGAATAATAAAGATACAGAAGAGTAGACCGACTTTTCTACATCTTTATCGATCGATCGACTATAACTCTATAATACCAAATAAGATATTGTAATGAGAGAAAATTCATATTTAACATAAAATTAGAAAGTACAGGTTCAAACATATATGTACATAAAGTTTTCAATTAAGTGTCCATTTAATTCCTTTTCACCGAATAAGATTTCATTTATAAGTTTCGTTATGGAATTTAATAACCAAAAATAGAAATCAGATAAACTTATATTAAAAGTTATTGTTATGAATTTAATAACATAGACCTATCACCGATATTTTTATGTTATAAAGATTTATTGTATTGATGATTGGAAATAAACAAAAGTGCAATAATTCTTTAATGTATTTAGTAAGAAAGAATATGAATGAAAGATATAAACATAAAATAACAAATTTCTTAATAAGAATTTTAAGTATTTAACGAAAAAAACCAATTTATCTTCACAATAAAAATGGCTTTTCTTTTCAAGTTGAAAATATAAAAGAGTGGATTTTTTTTTCTTTAAGCATTCTACATCTGTATTTTTATCTTTTGTTTTTTTTCCATTTTCTTTCATTCGAAACATACGACAGAAAAGTCAAAAAGGATTTATTCTGATATTTGATGAACATGAACAATTATTCTTTCTATATCATTCTATTTTTTCTTGATCTTGTTAAATCCACGCACCTTCCCATTTTCTCACACAAAAACAAAAAAAACACTAAAAAAACATGAAGCCACTCATTCATCGTACCTCTCTGTTAGTCAAAACCCATTGAGCTGCTTTCTCTCTCTTCTGTCAGTGCATCACTGGCAAACACTGTCACCTCTGTTACATCATCTCACCATGGAACTTGTTCCATACTCTGAACCCTCCTCCACCTCCCCGGCATGGCAGGACATGTTCCGATCCGCCTCCTCCCGCCACCCATCCTCTGCCCCATCTACCCACGCGCCGCCCGAGAAAAACCACGCGCCCTCTCACCCCTCACACGCGCCCTCTCACCCCTCACACGCGCCGTCCAATTCGTCATCCGGCGGCGACCAAGATGGAAAAAACACATTTTCCGGCGATGCCCAGGTGCGGCTGGCCCTTTACATAGCCATGGCCCATGCGGGTCTCGCATTCGCCATTTTTATTCTCTACACGTTCTCCAAGCTTCTAGAACAGTATTTGAGACCTCTCCAATGGGCCGTGCTGTGTTCTATTCCCCTCAGGGGCATTCAGCAGACCCTCGTAGCGTTTTGGTCCGAACCACTCCAACTGGGTCTCACAGAAACCGTTCTAGCTGTTCCTGTAGCTGTTTTCAGGGTTTTTGTTGGTACACTCGTTGAGATTCGTGAAGCGTCTTTCAGAGTCATTTTGAGGACGCCAAAGCCTCAGCCGAACCTCCCCTCGAGGAAGCGTAGTGGGTTCTCCAAGCTGCTTCGTTTGCTCGTGTCTTTCGGGATTTTCATCATTGCTTATGAGAAGCTTGGAGGGTTTGGGGCTTCGTCACTTCTTATTTTGGGATTTTTGTTTAGTTCAAACAATGTGGATTCCACTATGCACACTTTGTCTTCTTTTAGGAGCCTTAGTTTCAGGCGTAGTGCAATTAGTGCCTTTTTCACCAGAGGTATACTGAGGAGGTTGAAGATTATTGTGGCAGTTGGACTCATTGTTGGCATGATTGTGGGGTTTTTGAGTGGGGTGATTTTCTTCTCTTACAAGATTGGTGTTGAAGGGAAAGACGCAGTGATATCATTGAAATTGCATGTGGAGGAGAGCAATTATGCTGAGAAGATTGGTGTGAAGAAGTGGATGGATGAGAATGATGTTGCTGGGATGGTGGATAGTTACACTACAAAGATATATGAGACTGTTTCTGATCAGATAGATGGGTTGGCCGTGCAGTATAACATGACTGAATTTGTCTCTGGCATTAAGCATTTTGTGATATCTAATCAGGGGAACTCCTCAGTGCCATCCAAAGCCCTTATGACTCCCTCACCGTACGCTGAGAAGTTCCTGAGCTTGAAAACCAGGGTTAGGAACCGCGAATGGGGCCAGATTTATGCAGAGGTTGATATAATTTTGCGGGAGCTTGTGATCACCCGTGAGGATTTGGTTGAAAAGGCAAAAGGATTTGCCTTCAAAGGAATTGACGTGTCTCAGCAAATTTTCGCCAGTAGTAGAACTGTGCTTGGCAGCAGTTCAAAGTTTGTGTTTTCTATAGCTAATTCTATAATCTCTGGAGCTGCTGAGGTTATCAATTTTGTCTCTCAGTCAATGGTGTTTATTTGGGTTTTGTATTACCTCATCACATCAGAGAGTGGCGGGGTAACAGAACAAGTGATGTACATGCTTCCAATTTCAAATGCTGCTAGGGTCAGATGTGTTGAGGTTTTGGATAAAGCCATTTCAGGAGTCCTTTTGTCCACTGCTGAAATTGCATTTTTTCAAGGGTGTCTTACTTGGCTGTTGTTTAGGTTGAACAAAATACATTTCTTGTACATGTCAACTGTTCTTGCATTCATAAGTCCTCTCCTTCCAATATTTCCATCTTGGCTTGCAACAATTCCAGCAGCCTTGCAATTGGTGTTGGAAGGCAGATACATAATGGCCATTGTGTTGTCTGTTATTCACCTTTTCCTCATGGACTATGGAGCGTCAGAGATTCTATTAGACGTGCCTGGGAATAGTGCATACCTCACTGGGCTAAGCATAATTGGTGGGATGACATTGTTCCCTTCTGCTCTGGAGGTAATTTTTCTTACCCTCCTTGATTTAGTCTTCTGATGATTATTGAAGCATCTGTCTCTCACTGGTGATGCTTCATGTTTAGTTGAATCTCAAGGTTTCCATGCTTGTTTCTGCATATAAAAAATTGCTCTAGTTTTAGTTTATAAGTTAACTTGCTTCTTTTGGACATTATTGCTTTAGAATGGAAAACTGGTTTACCTGCGTAACTTGATTAGAATTCTAGTTTTAAGCTTCAAAATGGGGATATAAGTTGATGTGATCTTCTCCAAACTAAACTTATTTTTAATAATTTTGAAAATAACGTGCCAATGCACTTGGCATCCATCCATTGAACTGCTCAATGAGCAACAATTGGTATAAAGCTTCTTTTTGATTCTTCTGGGTTATGTTTTTCTCTTTTAATGTTTTTCTCTTTTAATGTTTTTCTCTTTTAATGTTTTTCTCTTTTAAGTATTGTCTTTTAATGGTAGGGGTCAGAATCCAGATTCAATGCCTTTCGGACAGAGAAGAATTCACTTCATTACATTAAAATCAGATTGTTCAAATCTTAAATTAGCGTTTTAAGTTTGATTTACAAAGATAAAATATGAATCTTCCAATATTCATTCAACAGTTTCAAATGGTCAATACCTAACTGTAGGGAATCTGGATCCTTGGCATCAGACTTGAATTTTCCTGTTGAGTCATTAATTTCAGTGTTTGGTTCAGTCTTTAAGATACTTTGGTTAGATAAATTTCTCTTATAACACATCACATCATTACATTGACAAAAGGGTGTATGTGGTTCTGCAGGGAGCTATCATGGGGCCATTAATTACTACAGTTATGATTGCAGTGAAGGATTTGTATGCTGAATTTGTGTTGCAAGAACCTAAGGACAAGGCCAAGCAGAAAGCCAGCTAGCTAAGCATCTTCTTCTACCTATGTCCATAAAATTATTTATTTGCAGATGAAGTTTGGTGTAACTGCATGCTCTTCTTTGCCATTGTTGATGGAGTTTGCATTTAGATTTTTGAGTTGCTCATGATCACCCTACACAATCCCATTTTATCTGTGTCAATAGGTTATTATAATTGAATAGGATCTACTTTTTTGCCTCATTTTATTAGTTCCAGGGGTCATCAAATATTTTCACTTGGTGGCAGTGTTTGTCAAAATTGTACACAATCTGTATCTGTATTTTATTTTATTCCTGTAACATTTTTTCTTTATTCTTTGTACCGAAAGAAATGAAACTCATGCTGGCTTTTCAGAAATATAATAACCACCTTCAATATCAGTGGATTTAGTCATGAGAAGGAGTTTCACTAGCATCATTATTTGTATCTGTTACACACGAGAAGAATAGTAGTAACGGGATTTTAACTTTTAAACTAAAATTTTCAATTATCTAATCTCCATAGAATTATATTAAAATAATTAAGAATAATTTGGTAAAATAATAATTAATAAATTATAGAATTCTACTGAGTAATATAACTAGCGTTTGGTGAATGTTCTTAAACAAATCAAAACACACGACTTCTATGTTATTTGCGATGCCTTTTAAAATAGAATCTATAGAGGGTAAAAAAGTGAAACACATTGAAAAACCGTGATAAAAAAAGAAGACATGGGCTTTTCATCCAGGCCCGTGTCATATATTTTTATTACTTATTTTATTTTGCTTGCTTTGGTTTTAGGGTTCAAATGAAGAACCCTACTCTAACATTTCTTCTCATCTTCTATCGTCGTAATCGCGATCTCACTTGATTTTTCGCGCCATTTTTATCGTGTACTTTTCGTCGTTGTTCCGTCTTCAAGCCAGGTAACTCTGTTTCCCTACGGTCTATTTTTTTTTTTTAATTTTCAACCAAAAATTTGACCCGTTAGATTAGAATAGAGTCTGAACCGTCAAATTTTTTTAATCGACCTGTATCGCTGAGCCACTTCATTAATTATGGCAATCCTATTCCGCATGCACTTAATGAAATTGAATAATTTGTTTATTC